CCAACCCCCCACTAGTGATGACGTGCCATTACAATGTATCGCTGGTTGGTGGCCATGTTTGCGTGTTTGCTTGTCGTTAGTGGTCTCTCAACCGTGTGCCTTTTTCTGTCTCTTATTTCTTGTTATTTTCGACCTGGTCCCTTTTTGTTCTCGCTCTTTTTATGTCATTTTCTCTTTCCTTACTGTTTCCATTTATTTCCTTCTCTTTTTCTCTTGTTCTCTTTTCCCTCTTTTTCTGTGCCAGATGGCCTTGTTTTGCTTGCGTTGTGAAGTACCAAGATTGAATCAAGGGGGTGTACCTAATTCTCTCCGGCCCGTGATGGTGACCCCTAGTCTCAGTTGTTACCTCGCATAGCGCGCAGAGGGAGTGGAGGACTCCAGAATATCTGGCGTTGATTTCTATTGACTTGCGGACCCCTCGGGGCCATTTTATTTGAGTGTACCACGGGAATCGACCGCGTCGAGTGTTGTATCAGTACGGACATACGAAGGCACTGGGAAGAGAGAGATCGGAACGGTTTTTAATGTGAAGACAAAAACAACAACTGCAATCTCCTCGATCCCCCACTTCCATCTATGTTCTACTGGTTCCTCCTTGTTCTCGTTGCATACCATGACGGCACTCTTCTTAACGTTGGCAGACAATCTCCACTTATCAGTAAACTTCTTCGCCGCGTCAATTTGCAGTTGCAGTCCCTCAGGGGTGTCCGACATACCGACAAAATCATCCGCAAACAGCATTCCTGAAACCGACGTTTCCGTGTCCCCTACTTTTACTCCCTTCCGGACTGCCTCTACGACTTCCAACAGATCGTTGATGAACACCTGGAACAATGTTGGGGACAGCGTGCAACCTTGTGGGACCCCCTGCTCCATGTCGAAGAATTTAGAAAGTTCTCCGTCTAGCATGACCGCGCTTTTCGTACACTCTGTCATCTTCAGCTCAGGTACCAGGATGTAGTCGAGGATCGAGCATTCATTGCAAACTGCCCGTTGCCTGGTGAACTCCGGCTTATCGCATTCCCTCCTACCGTTCAACACCTG